CAGGCTCGTGATTTATTGTGTGTTAAAGTCATCTTTATCTTTATTTTTTTATTTCTTATGTGATCCTATTTTACTGTTTTAGGACCACACAATTGGAAGTAGGTGTGTTTTTTTAATGATTAGATTAATTTGAATTATTTCCTGAAAACTATTACTGTCTACATTTAGGTTTGTCAGAAAGCAGCGTAGCCCGCCAGGTTTCCTGTCAACAAGAGGAAGCAGCCCGAAGTTTGGGCTGTTATTGTCAGATATTAGTGGGAACTTCATCTGAACAGCCCACATAGTGAGGGAGAATGTATATCATGCATGATGTTTAATAATGCTGAGAAACCGTGATAACAAATGTGGAAGAGTTGGTTTGAAAAAAATGCAAGCGTAGATTCCGTCAAGGAGGTTAAACATTTTTTTGTTTGGCTTAAATCAGTAGCAGTTAGGGTGACCAGGTGCCAACAAGCCACATGTGGGACAAATAGGATGTTTTTGCGGGACAATGCGGGACATTTTACTGCGTTGCTTAGAGCTAGATTAGAGCAGTAATGAGAGTATTAAGTATCACAAATATTTGTGTAGCTGTTACATGGAAATAATGGTGTTTCCAAGTTGTGACTGAGGTTGATATGACCACAATACGTACGGACAGTTAACATTTAAATGACAGTTAGTGACATCCACAGCATCAGCAACACCATGACGTGTGTAATGGTGAAGTAAGAAGTGGTTAAATCTATGAAATGTCATTGTGTTCCATAATTGTTTTGGAAATACCAGGTGTGTCATGTTTTAGGTGGAAGTCGAACACTTCATTTATAATAAAGACTACAATATGTGGACAGCAGATGAGAGATTTGGCTGCCCTCCAAAAATGGAGCAGACTGAGTGTAAACTTATATTCCCACCAATGTGGCTTCATTCCACTCAGGCCTGTGAAGTGGCCGTTTGTCTTGTCCTCAAGTCAAACTCAGTGTAGTTCAACCACACAGAATCCCGAATGCCATCTCTGCTTTGTGTCCAAACAGATCTCTGGACGCATAGACACAATGAGATAGGACAGTACTTGAACACAGCTTTAAGCCAATAGTTAAATACAATAAATAAGGATCTCCTGAGGTTGAATAAGTTGTCATGTAGGGTTACTATCTTGTGTATCTGTTGTTCAGTTTATCTCTTAAGATTGCTAATGTTCATTGCCAGACAAACCCAATACTTTTTTGTTATGCATTTACCATGAGCCCAATACAGCATTTTCAGGGTTGACCCTCCAACCCCAAGTCGAACTGATTCTGTCTGATTTTGTACAGCTATGAAAAGCTGCCAACCAATTGTCACTTTGCAGGGATTTTGGTAATTAGCAATACAGGAGACCCCTCAGAGTCTCTAACTAAAAGACAACCTGGCCCGACTTTAATTAGCTGAACTTGTGACATTATGTTGTACCACTAAAGTAGGTCTTTTAAGACCCCGGCCACACAAGGACGAAAACGGCTAAACGCATAGGATTAACGCAAACGCAATCGCAAACAAGCTTCCGTCCACACGCAATAGTTATCTGGATAGTGTCTGCCCACACGAGACCGCTCCGTTTAGCTCCAACCGCTGGAGAAGCTGCAGTACATATGCAGGAGCCTGTACGCGGCGCTGTAACATCCTCCACAAAAGCAGCGAAGAAGCATGGTTGTCATGGTTGTCCTTCTGTTTATTCTCCGCGGTGGGGGCCGAGGGAACCGGGCAGAGTTTTTTGCCAGTCAATGTGTATTAAAGTTTAAATCTTCCGACAAAATTATAAAAGTGCCGGTCAAAGGTCTTCTTTGTTATTTATTGAGCTTTAAAACAAATGAATAACGACTCTATATAATATAATAATAAAATACACGGAGCCTCTCTTTTTCCTCCCTCTCTTCGGACAGCGCCAGTGTCTGTCTCATGCAGCAGCTGATCCAGTAATGAGTGACCCGGCCGACAGTAAAAATAAACATATTTATAACTAGGTAGTTTGAGAGGTGTCTCCGTCCTGTCAGATTAGACTTCACTCGCGTTTATGTCCATATCGAGAGAAAGATAAATAATCTGAATTCAGTGTGCAGTTTACTTTGACGCGGGGGTGAGCAGCAGAGGTGGAGAGAGGCGGGGCTATTGCGCAATCATTATCAGAAAATGATCGCTGAAGCTGCAGTACATATCCACAAAAGCAGCGAGTAAGATCCCCCCCGAATGTGTGTCTGCTGTAGATGTTGCACAAAGAACTGTAGCATGGTCAGTAGCATCCGGAGCACGATAGCAACTCTGCGATCCGCCATTGTTGTTGTTGTTGTTGGTGGCGAAACACATCAGCAATGGCGTGGGGTACGCGGAGGTGAGCAGCAGAGGTGGGGAGAGGCGGGGCTATTGCGCAATCATTATCAGAAAATGATCGTATAGGGCGTACACACGGAGCTGTTTGACCACCCAGAGCGTTGCGTATGCCGTTCTATCCACCTTGGGACCCGTTATCGTTTCCTCAGTCGTTTAGTGCCGTATGCGGTCGTCCTCGTGTGGCCGAATGGTCTATATGACACTAAACAGTAACGCAAACGGCCGTTTTTGTCCTCGTGTGGCTGCAGCCTAAGGTGTCAGTGTTGAACGCGGATGGTTAATTCAAATAACCGTGACGGAGATGTGTCTAATATACGATAAGAGTACTGCATTTGGACTCCTAGCAAAGCAGATTTGGGATTATTTTTGGTTTGGGTGACTGTTGCTCTAAGAGGAAAACAATAACGCTCTGCTTCTCATTCCTTCTTTCTCCCCAGTGATAACAGTTTCATTGGGCCATTTGAGTTTTTTTAATAGTAGAGGTTCCATTACAAACAGATACTGTAGTTGTGCTTGTGGGAAACCATTGGTAATTGTTTCCAGCAGCCAGATTGGTTCCAGTACTCTGGCTTATTTTTTCTCCACTGCTATAGGGTTGAATAGTTGAGTCACTCTACTCTCGGACTGATGGGGTTTAGTTGATTGGCTTCAGGTTCCTGTCAGAGTTGTGCGACAGATATGAGGGAGAGGAAGGGAGGCGAGAGTAAAAATAGCCTGCATGCCCACTTAGCATTGTGTCAAATCAGCATCTTCATACAAAAGCATGAATAACTCTGGTGTGGAACATACCAGACGTCCATTTTAAAGTCTGACCATGAATTTGCATTTACAAGAACTTTTGAATTTTTTTTCTTTCATTTCTGGCTTGAGATCTGTTTTGCATAGACATTTAAAAAGCTAACATGACTACGAGTTTGCTTGCTTTGCGCAAACAAAATGTCCTTTGTGTAAAAATGGGACAAAGGACCTAGACACCCTGTCGGACTTGAGGAGAAGTATGCTTCGAGTGTGTCTCCATAACCCCAAACCCCATAAGTGGTGGGAGTTGTGAGGGCTATTTGAAAAGTTCCCCTTGGCTGCTGGAGCAGAGATAATTGGACCCAGGTTTAGCCGGGCTTTTGGTATTCACATCCTGAGCCAAGTTTGGATCTTCCCAACTTTTCTCAGCAGACAGCGCCTGTGTAATCAGGTTCGCCTGGCTATGTGAGGTATTATGACATATTTTTTGCATGTGAGAATCCTGACCCTCTTCATGTTTTCTGTTTAGGTCCTACACATGTGACTTATGATGTAAACACATTGTGGCATGTGAAAAACAGTGTGTGTCCAATAACTAGGAGTGCGTTTGCAGGGCTTTGAATTGAACTGTTTGCATGTCAAGGCTTGTAGGGTCATTCTTCCTAGCATGTGATCTGAGGAGACGTGACGTCGGTAATGGTGGAGCCTGAGGCCGGAGACAGAGATGTGTTGTTTGTGAAGTTATCTTATTGACTGACGTATTTGTAAAGTTATTCATTCAGAATCACAAGATGCTCTCATCACGCTTTTCACATCACAGGGTTTGGATGAATCAAATGCATTTCAGATAACTGAAGAGCAATGTTTTGACTCAATAAGAGTTTCCTGTTAATGTAAAACTACACGTAGCAACAACTCATGCTTTGCTTGATTCTATTCTATTAAAACACAAATATCCATCCTCAGAGCCCAAAGTGACCTGACATCAAACTGGTTTAATACTTCTGCTTAAATGAAAGATGAGTTTTGGTACTGATGCTTAAATGATACTATTTTGAATAACTCAATGTATATTTATTTAAAATACTAAGTGCACATTTTTGATTACATTTGATCAAAAGAATCAGATGTTCGATGCTAGCTTTCAGAACTTTTTGGTCGATAAAGAAAATCAATGCACAGCCATATTGAAAAACTTTCATAGAGAAATGTTCTAATGATAATTGGAAACATTGTTTCAGCACAAGGTGCATCTATCAGCAAAAGAAGACAGGAGATCAAAGCTATCGTAGACAGACTATGATTCCCAGTCCAAACAGTCAGATTTCAAGTTTGTTATGTCAACACAGAAGATTTAAAGACCTACAGGAAATTCAGAAAGAAAAAGAACCAAATGGAACAATTCATTATTGAACGTACGATCTGGCACAGTGTCTGGAAAAATGCCTAGGTTGTTATTGTACTGCCCAGGGCAGCACATGTACATTTACACAGATGCAGATTTTATAAGCAACATTCTTGAACTTTTTCTCAAATTGAACAAATATGATCTGCCCCAAACTACACTCAGATAGTAGTGTGTATTTGTTCTTGAAGCAGAATTAAGGTTAAACTGTGAGAATCATGTTAGTGGTAGATTGAAACTTGAGCAAAAGATGAGGGTCACTTCATCAGACATGAGGACGCACCTTCTTGACCTCATCGCAGCTTGTTCAGATCCACACTGCAGTTTAAGGGGTCTGCTGATTGTTCTCAGCTGCTTTATAACACGGTGATGACAAATGCAGTCTCCCTGTCTGTGTCCAGGCCTCTTGTTATGGACCTAAACATATCCTACATATCTTTCACAGCAAGTAGTACTTCATCTGTCAACTTTGCCTGTGTTTGTGTTGGTGTAACGTGTCTATCGGCAGGTCGCAGGAAAGAAATACACCCTGTGGGATGACTTCCTTGTTGAGGGCAGACGCAGCGGTCAGCAGGAAATGACCTTGGGAGATCTGTTCCAGTTTATCAAGGTACGGCCTCCTTATTTCTTTCAGCACGGAAACACACACTGTCTTTACACCCGGTGCTACTGAGTGCATACTTTATGCATGTTTTTTTTTAAATACCTAAACCTGTTCACCTTCCTCCAGTGCACACAATAGCTATTGTATGAGATGACTGGACACTTTGCACCTTCAATTCACAACTTCAGGACTATATTCTGAAATCCTGGAGGAAGGTCATGCTGTTTATTCAAACTCAAAATGACCATAGGCTATGTTGTTATAATGAAATCTTCTTTTAAATTGTTGGAGTTTTTATGACATCGATAACATTTCAAGCTGTCACTTCCAACGTCCCGAATATCATAATGTTTGTTTTTTGACTTAAAACATAGAAAATGGTTGATCATAAGCTGGTTGCATGCATTTATAGAATATAATCATACACCAAATATAACATGGGTACTGAACATGTTCATTTAAGGTGGAATAACCTGTCCTATTGCTCACATATACAGTACATTGCGTTTTAACATGATATAGGTCCTTAGCAACAGAAAGTCTAAACATAAGACTCCATGCCTGTTTTTGATGCATGTAAGTGTGCCAAGGCAGGCATGGCAAGACACGGTTTATTGATTTTGCTAGAGTTTGTTCTGTTGAGGCAAGGGGAAAATATTTTGGCAAGTGGTCCTATTTACGGTTTTGTTTATCCTTCGACCGACCATGTTCCCCCTTGTTTGTTTGCGGAGTTACTGAAGAGCTTCCTGAACTGCTGAAATTGTTCATCATCAGACCTTTACACTACTCTCTGCAGACTTTATTAGTACTCTCCTCTGCACAATGCATCCTGGCAATACTCATATCTCTTTCCTCATTGTACTTTAAATGTATTTTTATTGTTTCTTTGTGCAGGATGAATATGACTTGAGCATCAAGTATCTCTTATACGAAAACGCTATCTTATACATGGGGCAAGAAGAGAGGCTCAAGCAAAGGTATGTCCAGTCAATGCAGAGATACAATGTCATTTTGCATATGCAGCCTCCCGTGTTTGTTTAGAGGCTAATGGCAGGATGAGGTGTTTCCTCTGCGCCTGTGAGCAGAGAGCCTGTTGACACATCCCCATGCATCACTGAACACTGACGAGTGAGACCGATCCTCCTCAGGTTTCTTTCTGTTTGTTGAGGACAAGAGTTTAAGAATTAAATGAGTGTGATTCTTTTTTTTCTGCATCGAGACACCACACTGTTTGAGCCTGTTCCGTGCTGCAGAACATTATACGCCCCGGGGTGTGTGAAACCAATCAGGTACCTCGTAAACGTTCCTAATTAAGAACTGAGTCACAGCAGAACATTCAGCCTCTGGGATGTTCGCAATCCCTGTGACTCCAACAAAAAAAAACATACACAAGTTTACATTTTTGATTTAGTTCATACTTAGCTTACATCGTGCTGTAAGGTCTTTGACTTCATCTTGAAACAGACTGTGTGAATGTCCATGTATATTTGAAATGCTCATGTCTCTGGGGAGCGGTGTTGTGGTTAGATAAAGCTGTGAGGGGAGAGGGGGAGAGGGGCAGAGTGCCGGCCATGTGGACCGCTAGCCGCACGTGTAAAAAATGCCTTCTCCAGGAGTGACTTCCTGTGCAGTTGCCCTGCTACAAGCTTCCTGTGTTCGAACATTTTGTCCCAACCATTTAAATCCTTAAAAACAGATCACAATTAAATTGTTTTATGTTAAATGTATGAAAACAGATGAAATAGTATTATAATGTTAGTAATATATGTGTTGATTTTTACACCTTAATACACCTTCTTTGTGCTACTGTGTACTTCCAGCAGCAGAATGGTGAATGTAGGATTAACATTGACAATAATGGCAGTCTATGTCAAATAGGAACACGCTTAATCCAGATTTGGATACATAAATACATGTTAACAGGATTAAATAATTGTACAACATTTATGGCCCTTGATGATCAGAAGACACAAACCAAAAATGCTTATTTGTGTTGGAATGAGATGCAGAAATAATGTTATATAGTTATTTTTTTCTTCCAGGCTAAGCTAACATATACTGAATGTTTTTGCAGTGTTTCTGACGTGGTGAGGATGGTCACCAAGACAGATATCCCTCCACACAAGAAGATGCTGGAATTCATCGCCTCGTTCACTGAGGACGAAGAGTGTGAGACAGTCCCTCCCATCAGATACATGCTCGTGTGATGCCATCAACACAGTTCACTCAAACTTTATGGTAAACATGTTTCACATGGAAATGCTTCAATGTGATAAAGCACACTTAACAATCCTGTGATATCTTATCAGTTTAAAACATCCTCATGTCTTTAGCTGTTGTTTACAAATATTACTATCTGAATGATGTTTTCCTGCATCTGTCTATCCATTCCTTTACCGTCTTTTTACAATATTTTAGATTTTATCCCGGGCTTACTGTGATCATGTTTTCGTCAATTGTTCATGGACCTTTAATCATATAAAGTCAAACATAACACAATGTGTCTAATCTGTTGTCCGGTCCCCTAGCCATGTTCCAAACAATACTTAAAAATGCACACATATATATATTCTCTTTTTATGAAACATAACAAATGGCCATTTTGGTTCCAACGTAACTAGACATTTTACCGGGGTATCTGTTTTTTAACTTCAGGTTTTCATATAAAATGTGTCTTTGGAGAGGTCAGGCTAAGAGGTTGTCAAGATGTTTGCCAAGTCCTATGAATTAGACGGTCTGGTGCAGCTTGGCCATGCTGGCCTGGTTTCAAGGTTTAATTCAGGTCAGACTGAGCTCAATGATGAAGGCCTGCAGTCAGACCAGGCACTTAACACAGTAGGTACAGGGCTTTCACAAATTTGGGGGATTTTGTCATCTGGACACAAATGCTTAAAATCTTCAGAAGGAATCCCAGAGCTGGAGAAGCTTGACTGGAAGCTTAAAGCCCTCATCTGTCCTGAAATGGCTCGTATGCATCACCTGTCCTTTTCAACAACCACACGATGTGTCTGACTTCACACCCATATGTTAACATAGTGTTGTTTTTACTCTCTCTCTGTATTTAGATCATGTAATGAAGAATCCTCTCGGAAATAATCACTCACTTTGTGAAAGGGTTATTTATTCAGTGTGTAATTGGGGCTGTGATTCGGGATGCTGTTTGTCATTTAAATAATATAATTCAATAAATATGTCTATGAGGAACCATGTGGTGCTGTGTACTTCACTAAAAGACTTCAGTTCCCTTACCGTCTTTTTAATTAGTCACGAACATACTTTTCTATGGTGACCACATCACACACTCAACCTCACATTTTAACGAGAAAAAAAGATCCTGTTGAAATTGCTTCGTTTTTAAAGCCTTTACTGTTAGAGTTGATTGAGCTAAGATACTATATTTATTTGGCTTGTGGGCGATTTTACTCCCAACCACTCAGTCTCGAAAGACTGTAAAATTGAGCTTAACGGCAGACAACTTTCCCCACTGTAACACAACATTTACATGAAGATGACTAAGAAGCTTGAAAGTTGTCACAATTTGTCAAACTGTTGAAATGTTTACAGTATGGCAGCTCATACTCAGGAAGAAAGAGAACACATTTTCATTAAATACAAAATACCTTTATTACAGATGTATCAACATTGTGGGCAAAATCCAATATAAAAATAGAACCATCTTTTCACAATTCATTTGAACGGTCAGGCTGGAGCCTCACTTAAATATATCCGATAATGTCATTGCATATAATGGGTTGTCGGCTGCCTGTCTTCATGAGAGCAGTGAAATGGTGGAAGTCAGTGTCTGGTTGGTGTAGGCCTGTGTGGGACTGGTGAAAGAAAGGTTTGAGTGTCTGGAGCCCCACAGGACAGGACATCCGCTTGGGGTCCTCCGCAGCCCTGCTGACCCTCGTCAAGTCTGCTGTCCTCTGCCTCACCTCAACATTTTTAGACATCCCTGCTAGTCTGCGCCGCATGTTGATCAAAATGTCTTTGGCCATGCGCCGCCCCACATGGGGCTTTAGTTCTGCTGGCTCAGGACACTCTGGTAGGTCCATCCAGTTCTTTATCAGGTCAGCAAAGCTGTTGTCCCCCAGAACCAGAGGCTGTCTGTTCCTGCTGCGGCTCAGCAGCGAGGTCGTCCAGTCCTCTGGGTTGCTGGCTTCAAATGCGGTCCAGCGCTCCAGGCAGGCGTCGGAGGTCGATTTGGGCCGGATTCTTCCAGAAGCTCCTCTGTTTGTGCGGAGGCAGGCAGAAGAGGACACTCTCACATTCCTGGTTCTCCTCAGCACCACACCTTCATCCTGCCAAGAAGCCTCAGAGTATCCCGAGTCAACGTCCATACTCTTCTCACTGCTCGGGGAGCCTTGTGTCAATCGCTCATGCTCCTGATGCTCTTCGTCTTCTTCCAGGGGGCTGGCCAGGCAGCAGGCAGAGTCATATGTGCTGGCTTCACTGGAGTCAGAGACACGCAGACGAGCGAGTCTCTCTTGCTGCGCCCTCTGTTTGCAGAGCCGAGTCACAGCAAAGGAGCGAGCACACGGTTCACTCAGTGGCCTCGGCCTGCTTATCTGCTTCAGGTCCTGCAGGGATCTCATCATGCACTGCATTTGGTCCCGAAGGCAGTCAGGAGAGTCTCCTAAACACAGCTACACAATACAAAGACAAAGAGTTAGTGGTGATGGAAAAATTGGCAAAGTATATTTAAAAGCAACACTTAAAACCAAACAAAAGCTTTGGTGTCTTTTGCAAGAGTCTACAGAGCAGTTAGGCTGGCTTAGCTGAGACACAATTCCCTCTGTTATTTTCAGAACTGGGCCAATAAGATTTTTACCAGCTGAGATCACTGTGCTCTATGACCATATAACAAGTGAAGCATTCCTGAAAAACCTCAGAGCAGCTTTTTGGAGACTATCCCTTGCAGTTCCCAGAAAATGAAAAGTTGTGGCTTTGTGGACAATATGCACATGTTGTATTGGGAAAAGTCTTACTGCAACTTTAAACGAGAAGGGAAGTTTGAACAAAGTAGAGCTGAATCGTGGAGGAGTGCCGAGGCACATAATCCTCTCTGGATTCCCCTTACTCACAGGATGTTGACTGGAGTGTATTAATAAAGCAGGAAATGACAACCACATTTTGGAATTACACAATCATCGTTCATTAATTATGAATCATATCATCATCCAGCCTTCAGATAAACTAAAAAACAATTTGTACCAGTTGATGCAACATGATCTGTACAATCATCAAACCAAAAATACAGTTTTACCAAACTTTCCTGTGGATCAGAGTAGACTCCAAAAAATGTCCAAAGTTAAATAATTTGCTGTAATACATTTCGTTTTTAGGTTTCTATTATGATATTTAGTTTTTAGTGGAACCTCCCTGGCATGCCAGTGTTTGGCTTGGAGATGCACGGACAACACAATGCCATGATGTTGTCACAGCTGTGGGTGCTGAACCATTTGGCCCCCGGGGGAGACTTATCTGAGATACAAGAGACATCCTCAGTGGGACTCAGTGGTCAGTCTGCACCTCTTAAAATGCCCTGCTCTCCTTGACTGCCTTCACACAACGAGAAGTGATTCACCAAGTTGTACACAATTGGCAAGGACAGTTAGGTTTGCATTAACTGTGACTTGGGGGATTAAACACTCAAGCTTCCCAAAAAAGAACAGCCAGTAGAGGGAAAACTTTAAGAATCAGCAGAAACATGTGCACTCACTTAAACTGAAAATACTTTACAAAGTGTTCCTGCCAAGGGTCCTAAGCAAAGACCTTTGCAATTACAAGCCACTGCAATGCATCTAGAAAACGATTGAAATATATAAAAGCACGTGGAAAAGACTTACCATATCTTTAAAGTTAATTGCTGTAGTGAAGTTCAGAATCCTGTTGTTTCTGCAACAAAAACATGATACATTAGATATGAAATGGGCTTTGAAAGTGTTTCACTACTAAGACAGATATAGTAAATAATTAGTATTAACCACTCACCTAAGCATTTAAATGAATCCCAGCACAATCCACAGCTGCAGAGATTCACAGTTGAATAGAGCCAGAGTGTCTGTGGGCTGTATTACCCCTCTGATCCATATGAAGGTCTGTCAGGGGGTTTTGACGATGCTGAGGTTTTCCCAGCAGCCAATCAGCGCAGGGCATTACCAAATCAGCCAATAGTGAGTCTGCTGAAACTAGCTCCCTCCCTGTGTGAGCAAAAGGTTCCTTCTCTAAGTGTTCCGCAGTTTGAATATTAGGACATTTTCATTGAACATAAATATATTGATCGATCACAGGACCTTTTTAACTTTGTTTCTATTGGACGAACATCTGTTGGATTTTCTACATCACTGATAATGAATATGTTATATTATAAAGTGCATATTATACACTTTAGTTGAACAAGGTTGTGGTAGACTAACACCTAATTTGTAGGTGAGATGAATGCAGAGCTTAAACGCCTCTTATGTCTGCATACATCTCAAATCTGCATGACGCCACCTTGTGGATGTTTGTGAACAGTACCTCCCTTTTTAACATTCTCCATTGTCTCTGCATATAAACCTGATCACACCCTTTATAACAGTCTGAGGAATGCATACGGTTCATTCCCAATTCTTTCCTTAATGGGTGTTTAGAAATGCAAACACAGCTCGATTGATGTTCTCATTTAATTTGCAGATAAGCAACCCATTGATGACTGAACTCCTCACCTCACCTAAGACGTTTATAACACCTTAATTCAGCCCCAGTTGTGATGGATCTGCTCAGGACTCTCAAACACAAGAGTATGACATTGTTAGATTGTGTAGATTGCATCCAAGTGTAACTGAGGTTGGGTTTTCACTTCTTTACAAAGGCATTCTGCTAAGTAGTTGAGTCGAGTGGTTACAAACCAATAGGGGTATGTATCAGCCAGATCGGAGAAGCTGTGAGATGATTTAAAAACATAAAATAATACAACAAAAATTACGCTAAAGACAGTTCTATGCAGCTTTTCTGAACCTTTTTCGTTAAATGTCAATGTACAATTTCTCTTCTCTGGGCCTTAAACTGTTTTGTAACCAGATGAACAACTGCTGGTGTTTTCAGAAACCTCTAAATGTATCAAGAGCTCATGTTTATGTACTATCTGCATTTTAAAAGAACCAGTTCTCCAGACCTCAGAATAATACTTAAAGTACTTCAGTAAATGTACAGCCACTAATGACCAAATTATAACATATTTACTTCAAAGAAAATGTATCTCTGGGTTTATTATGAGAAAGCTGTGACAAATTAAACCTAAATCCTTTACTGCAATGCAAGTGCAACCCTTTCTTACATACAGAGGTGGAACAAGTAATCAGATTGTTCACTAAAGTAAAATAAGTGATACATTTAAAAAATATTCTGTTAGTTAGAAGTTAAACACTTACGTGAATACAAGTACAAAAGTATTGGCATCAAGGTATACTTAAGTACCAACAGTAAAACAGCTGTGTGTGTAATGGTCCATTTCAGAATCTTATATATTAAATCTAAAGTCCCTTTTATATAATTTTTTTCAATTTGCATTTCAGTAGAGTTTAGGTCCATTCATGGAGATTAATGTGTGTTAAGTGCATTTTCTTTTGACCCATCACATTGAAAATAAAAGATCAAGTGAGCAAACTTTATTTACATAAAACAATTGAATGACTCTTTTCTTAATATTATTGAAAGACTATCATCCATGTGTCTCTTTGTTGTGGTGCATCTTAAATCATGTGTAATGTGAAATACAGTGGAATAGAAATAGCCCTAATTCACACTATGGAGATAGTATGTCTCTAAATAACATGTGTAAACAGATATCAAGGCACAAACATATGTAAAAACAAACTGAAAATGGAACAGAAAAAACAGAACATCCATGTTAGGAACAGACATTACCACTTAAACATATTGTAGATATCTTAAAAGTGACACAAAACCATTTACGTTTTGTTTCTTTGTAGAAGTTACTCAGGAATGTTATTCAGTTGTGGAAAATACACGCTAATCTATGGACGGTCATGCAGAACAATGAACTAAAGTACAATGGTGGATTCTGTGTAAACATTGTACAAAAGCATTTCCCTTCATCCATCTTCATTCTCCATGCTTGTTTGTTTTCTTCAAAAAAAATAAGCTCTGTGCAGTCAGAGGGTTCATCAAATGCCAACATTAGTTAAGATAAAGTAATTTCATTTTTATAAAATATTATTTTTTCATGTTGTTATTTCTTATTAAACTTCAAAAGCAAATAAGGATTCAAATGAAACCCCTAACAACTCCAAGAGGTCTGAATACAAAACAAATGAGACTCTTAAAATCAGATAACTGCAGACTAAAAGTCATCCTTAAACTAGTCCTGAAAGTCCTATTAAGGATGTAAAATACTTTAATATTGCTCTATTTTCATTTACTATGCATTATGATGGGAAAGATTGGTTAATATTATGATAAGTTTCCCTCTTCTAACATGTTTTTCCACTTAAGCCAGTGGGATAATATCATTTATGTTACAAATTCAATTTAAAAAACAATAAAAGGGGGCTTGGTCATATATCTATTTACAGGTACTCAGTATGGACAGTATGAGAACCCTAATCAAGAGCCATAAGAAATATATATCTTTTTTTTTTTTTTAAATCAACACAATAAACAGAGAATGTAATGGTTGCAAATCTGTGATTGTTGAAGTTCTTTAAAGTATGTGCTCTAAGAGTCAAGTCTCTTATGGTTTTCATTATGAAAAGCAGTATCATCACATGGCTGTTGCAGTCTCTCATGCAGTGTGCATCAGGCATTCTCCTGAAGGAACAGAAAGATGACAAGAAAAAGCACCTTTAGATAAATACATTCAAAGAGCAATGATTTGTATTAATGTCTACTAATGTATCATGTTTAAACTGCTTCACGTCAACTACAGTAAATCACGCAGACATGGATGATGTTAATTAGCTAATCAATGCTTAATTGCGCTTAATTAAAATGACAAAGACACATAGATTACCGTTATGACAAAGTAAGAAAACCTACATATATTCACAATTGGGACAATAGAGCCAGAAGGCTTGTGCCATAGACCAATTCAAGTAAATTAGTGAGTCGTCAATCAATCAAATTGTTGCTAGTTATTTTTTGTTTGATCAACTTATCGACTGATTGACTGATTTAACCTTAAAGGTCCCATGACATGTTTTTCTGGTTATTACCCGTCCCCTTGTGTGTTATGTAGCTTTTTATGCATGTAAACTGTCTGCAAAGTCACAAACCCTCAAAGTACACCCTGTCTATGCTGCCCCAGAACGCCTCGTTGGAGATTTTTATTTTTCCATTTTTTTCTTCCTGGTCATAGTGACGTAACGGTCATAGTGACGTAACGGCGGACCAATCCGCGGATTTCCGCACACACACACACTCACTCAGCCTTATCTTTTCTCAGCCGCGGCTGGCTGTGAGTGTGTGAGTGTGAGTGTGCTCAGGCTGAGTTCTGCGGTGTCTCGCAGACCCCACGCAGCAACCAGGAAACTACACCAGTAATACAGCTCACACTGTCCGCTCCACGAGCCTCAAAGGGCGGAGCAGCGAGCCCCGCAACGGCACCCAGACCCCACGCAGCATTCTCATCTGTTTGCCATTACTGGTGTCATTTTCTGGTTGCCAACGCCATTGTAAAACATAATCACTGATATTCCGCTGTAACGGCGGTGGACTCATCAGAACAGAGTGGGCGAGCTGACCAATCAGAGCACAGTGTGCTCATAGGGAGGGGGGGGGGAGCTCCAACAAGCCGTTTAGGACAGAGAGTGAATACACATACTATACAGAGTTGCTGTATGAGAAACCAATGTGAGTTTGGAACATTGAACAATGTAAATCTATTCTAGTAGACCTCAACAATGGAATTATGATCAGTAGAAATGGCCATGTCATGGGACCTTTAAGGCCACATGAATGTGTTAGAAAACATTTTATATTTCATCATCCCTCTAGCCTACCTTTAGAAAAGACCACAGTCTTTCAGGTTGTTCTTAATGATGACGTCAGTGACTGCGTCAAAGACAAACTGCACGTTCTTGGTGTCGGTGGCACAGGTGAAGTGGGTGTAGATCTCCTTGGTGTCCCTTTTCTTGTTCAGGTCCTCAAACTTGGTCTGAATGTAACTGGCTGCTTCATCAAACTTGTTGGCTCCTGGGGAACAACAGTTTGGAAACAAGAGGTGATTTGATATTACCATGAAAGCTTACATGTTCTTGTGATTTTATTTGTTATGAATCCAACTCTGTACCTGTGTATTCTGGGAAGCAGATGTTTAGGGGGCTGCGAGGAATCTTTTCCTCAAAGAGATCCTTCTTGTTGAGGAAGAGGATGATGGAGGTCTCGGTGAACCACTTGTTGTTGCAGATGGAGTCAAACAGCTTCATGCTCTCATGCATTCGGTTCTAGAGAGAAGCAACGGAAGTCAAAGATTGCGGCCTCCACTGAAGCACAACAACACATCAGAGCTGCCACCAGGGGACACTGCCGTTTGATATTTAATTTAAATGTGAGAAATGAGCAGAGCACAGGATGTTCCTCAGAGCATCTATAGGCCAAGTCTCTCTGGAGCACTTTCTTTTCATTCATAATCAGCTCCAGAAATTGGGGTCAATGGTTCAAGCCACTTAGCTTTTTAACATAAATACAGTCCATTGGTTCAACTGTAAATGGATAATAATTGTACCATCTGGAGATTACTGTTATTAAGCTTTCAATAGAGGATGGATGGATCCTTTTATTTGCCTTGTAATGCCTTAGAAAATAAACTACCTGATACTGCAATATAAGATAGAATAGAAGTTATATCACAAAGCAGTTGAGAATAATGTTTCCTTACCATCTCCTCATCCTCAGCCAGCACCAGGTCATAAGCACTGAGTGCAACACAAAAAATGATGGCTGTGACTCCTTCAAAACAATGAATCCATTTCTTCCTCTCCGAGCGTTGTCCTCCCACATCAAACATTCTGCAAAGGGGATCAAGCAGAGGAGATGCATTGAGTGTGGAGGAAGTAGGTCACACTGAAAGACAGTAAGGTGAAAGTGATAGAGAACGAGGTATTGAAGAAGACAGTTTTAGGAAGGATGACGGCTAACAAGAAAGGAAAAATAAAAATAAAGAGTGACATTTGATCCCTGGATGTACATTAAGTCTTCATGAGGCTATTTTGAGAACAAAAGCCTCAGGAGGAGGTAGAGAGAATACGGTCCAATATCTGAAAACAGACAACAGGCTTCAATCCTACGAGAGGCAGACAGGCCTCTTTATTCGGTTAGATGATAGAGGCAAATGTGTGGTGTTAAGGTCTAAATTGAGTCAATATAAAAACATATCTGCATAAGTCTCTGTAAATATGGTCTGTTAGTACTTGTTATGGCAAACAGGACGTAATTACAAAAACTTGACTTTCTTCTTATCGATTGCCTCCATGTATTATTCAGGCCAAATATTGAGGCTGTGACAGAAGGCAAATATCAGAGTTTATCTGGAAACAGGTCACAGCAGAGCCATGTGCTCTTTTTATTTTTTTATCATCCAGATCTGTTAAGTTGCTTATCAAGGTCTTGGTATTTAATACTGATCAAGTCCCCAAACAAAGCAACTAAGATATGTGCCCTTTATATGAAATAGTTTGTACTTTCACCTATACAGTATATCATAAAGTGTGCTTTAGGAGAAGTCCTGTTATAAAATGTTAAAACACTGACTGTATCTCTGGCACATCCACTATTAGGATGTACATCTATACATCCATTACTAATATGCACACGAGTGCTCAGGCTGGGCCAGAGAGCATATTTTATGTAAGACCTGCAGCACTGTACATACTCACATGTTAGCACTTCCCTCTAAAGGTTGTATTGAGTAAAAGCACTGTAGGAAGCATCTTTTTTATTAACTCAGCTTTCAGTGCAATCACGATAATTAAGCTTTCAGATTCTGGTATAGTTTGGCTTCTAAGTAGCCGAGTAGCACATTTCATGCCAGGAGGGTTAGTTGCCCTTTAATGCTATTAATGTTGAGAACGGTCTAAAGTCGAACAATTTGTTTAGAGCAGCTGTGGAGGAGGCTGCTATGGTAATGTCACTTTTTACACTGAAGAGGAAGGACCACATTTAATAAATAAAAAAGTATGATGACATACTTTACTTTAATATCCTAGCTAGGGTTTTGCCTAGCTGCTCTCCTAAAATAGCACCAAGGACAGTTATATTTTATTCAGTTGGTCATGTTTCATGTGCTCTTGTGTGGTGATAAGACAGACTGACAGCCACATTAAGTTGCAAGCAAGCATTGGGAATGAGTGAACACCGACAGGGTTATAATACCACAGAGGCACCTTAATGTAAAATAAAGCTGAGCTTCTAAGTTCCCTAGGCTCTCACATTGGCTGCAAATGGC